ACAGGACCCCAAAGGACCAATACTTCCACACAGGGCAGCCTGGACCCTGTAACGGAACACACTCGTATACAGACAACATAGAAGAAAACTGGAGGGTCTGTGCAAAGAAGAGTGGAAATTGATACCTCATTTTTTAACAAACAAGCAAAACAAATTTTAAAGCACTGGCTGAGAATAAGGTAAGATCTGCCCAGCCTGTCCATATGTCCCAGGGAATAATCAGGGTGAAAAATGTCCGTTATCTCTCTCTGCTCAGAACTTCATCGTTTGCATGGTTTGTACCAGTCAAATAGGAGCTTAGCTAGGTAATGTCTTTATTCTGCCTTTCATGTTTCCTGAGTCATAAGCAGAGTGGAAAATCTACAAGGCCAGGGACAAGGTCTTCTCTGCCTCTTGTACCCCATCCACATGCCTGGCCAAGTAAACACAACAACTTTTTTTCTTTTTTTTGCGCAGTTCTCTGCTGCTAACTGAAAGGTCAGCAGTTTGAACTCACCAGCCGCTCCATGGGAGAAAGATGTGGCAGTCTGCTTCTGTAAAGATTACAGCCTTGGAAACCTGACGGGGGATTTCTACTGTGTCCTATAGAGTTGCTATGAGTCAGGATTGACTCAAAAAAACAAAACCAAATCCATTGCCACTGAGTTGATTCTGACTCATAGAGACCCTATAGGACAGAGTAGAACTGCCCCATAGGGTTTCCAAGGAGTAGCTGGTGGATTCCAGCTGCAGATCTTTTGGTTAGCAGCTGAGCTCTTAACCACTGTGCCACCAGGAGTCTATATATATATATGTATGTATGTGTGTGTGTATATACATATATATATGCATGTATGTATATATATACGCACATACAAAAAACTATATATATATACATATACCCCTGGGTGGTGCAAATGGTTAATGCATTTGGCTGCTAATTGAAAGGTTGGAGTTTCGATTTGCCTCAGAAGAAAGGCCTGGAGATCTACTTCCAAAAACTCAGACATTGAAAACCCTATGGGGCAGTTTTACTCTGACATATATGGGGTCACCATGAGTCAGAATCTACTTGATGGCAACTGGTTTGTTTTTTCTCTGACTATAAAATAAATACATGACCGACTCGTAGTGACCCCACGTACAACAGAACGAAACACTGCCTGGTCCTTGGCCATTGTTGCAGCTACTGTGTCAGTCCATCTCATTGAAGGTCTTCCTCTTTCTCACAGACACTCTGCTTTACCAAGCATGATATCCTTCTCCAGGGACTGGTCCCTCCTGTTAACACATCCAAACTACATGAGAAGAAGTCTGGCCATCTTTACTTCTAAGGAGCATTTTGGCTATACTTCCTCTGAGATAGATGTGTTCCTTCTTCTGGCAGTCCATGCCAGAATTCAACATTCTTTGTCAACACCGTAATTCAAAGGCATCAATTCTTCTTTGGTCTTCCTTATTCATTGTCCAGCTTTCGCATGCATATGAGGCAATTGAAAATACCACGGCTTGGGTCAGGTGTACCTTACTCCTCAAAGTGACGTACATAATGGAAGATGTAGAAAATAAAAAGAAAATGGCCCCAAATCTACCATTGTTAACATTTTGTATATTACCTTGCTATATGTTTTCTATTCATATACAAATTGTACTAGAAATCTGTATCCACCTTTTACATTTAACATACTATAGTGAGGATTTTTTATGAATATTTTTAAAAATCCCTATCTCTTTATTTCCCATAAGATAAAGAGAAATTGTGCCACCGAGCACCTGTTTATGAATATTCATTTTTAGTGACTGTAGAATACTTCATTTTATGGAGTCACCATAATTTATTTGATCCATGGAATTATTCAATAATTATTTGCATTTTGTCACACATTTAAATGTTTATAATATTTTGCAATATTTTAAAATACAGCTGCAATGAACAATCTTGTATAGTTTTTACCTGCATCTCTGATTACCCCTTAAGATAGATTCACGGAAGTGGAATTATTAAGTCAAACTTCTGTTCAGATCAGCTTCCTTTTTACCTAATAGAATCTCAACCACAAATACCAGTTAGGGAACACCCAAACTGATGGCACTTTGCTGGGACTGGTGGAGATGAACTTGCTGGACTCTTCAAGAACCCTGGACAGAGTGGAGGATCAGGGGCCATGAGACCCAAATCCTTGTGGTGGTCTACCTGTGTACTTACAGCCTGACACTTCTTTCTGTCTAAGCCTCAGAGTCCACTTCATCACCTGCAAAGAAGTGATCATGTCCTTTGGAACTCACAGGGCTGTTGTTAGGAATAAAGGAGATAGTGTTTATGAATCTGTCTTGTAAATTGGGGAAGCATTTAGCTTGGTGGTTAGGACCATGGCCTTGGGAGACAGGCAAACATGGGTTCAGATCCCAGGGTCTGCCACACAGCTAACTCCATGGCCTTAAGCGTTGTTTTCTCATCTGTAAAACGGAAGTAATAACAGAACCCACATATAGCTTGTGATGTATCTTAACATTGGTAACACATGTAAAAGGGTTTAACATGGTACTTGGCATGTAGCACATAACACTAGTTATTATTAAATGTTAAGATGCTGCACAAATATTAGTGGATATTGTGAGTAGATGAGGATGACATCTCTGAAGCACTATCGATCCTGGTGAGGACAGCTGCAGGGCCACTGACTGCCATGACCCAGGTAGTCCTTGAGGGAAGTCCTCAGGGAAGTGTCCCATGGGGCCTTAGTCAAGGCAACAGCACCCCTCCAGCAGGCACTCCCTTGGAAAGTGACCTCCCTCCCAGGCAGAATCTGGAAAGGGCAAGAGGGCTCCAGGATGACCTACAATCTTGAGGTATTTCTCTATTCCAGGCCCCACACTCCGGAAAATGCACTTTGCCTAATATGGAAACCCCCTTCAGGAAGGCATTATGAATCTATGAACAGCTACCAAGTGGAATTCTCCTAGAAAGCAGCTCTGCAGAGCTGACCACCACGCCCAACAGGGAATGCAAAGATGAGGCACTCCATTCCAAGAATGGTTAAGGGCAGCCTAATTAAGGAATGTGGGAAAACTTCAGCCCGGTGGTTCTCCCTTGGTTGCACCTGGAGAATTTTAAAAATGACAGAAACCTAAGCTCCAGCCCAAAAGATTCTGATTTAATCGGTCTGGCATTGGCCCTGAGTGATGTTTTGATTTGTTGGTTCCCCCAGGTGATTCCCATGTGCAGCAGCCAAGGTTGAGAACCACTGAAACCTAAGAAACCATCACCACTGAGATTAAGATGAGGACACTGAGGCCCAGAGAGACTAAGGGGTACTTAGTCATACCACTCATTAACCATATACCTGGGAACCCTGACCAATCCCCACTCCTCCCCATTCCTGAGCTCTTCTAAGTGCATGGAGTTGGACTGGAATTTAATGGGCAAGTGTCTCTAGTTTTAGTTCTCTTTCAGTCTTATTTAAAGCCTCTCTAGGTGGAGGCTCGGTATGGCATATATATACGTGTGTGTGTGTGTGTGTGTGTGTGTAAAAATACTCCAGTATGAGTTACTGTCTCTAGATATGTGAATAAGTTCTGGGGGTATGGGAGGGAAGAATTCACCTTTGCTTCTTAACACACTCAAAGGGTCAGATAATATGCTAGGTCTGCAGACTGCAGGGGAAAAGAGCTGGCTTAAGGGGCCAACATTAAGAGCCCATCATATAAAGATCACAGGATGCTGCTCTCAGGACGAACCCAGCTTAAGGATAATAACAGATCTGTGGAGAAAGCAGAAACTACCTGCTTACAGGTTCCCGTAAAAATGACCAGAGCCTTCAAAGATGACTAGTATTAGCATCTTCTAAAACCCATTGTCATCGAGTCAAGTCAACTCATAGCAATCCTATAGGATGGAGTAGAACTGCCCCATAGGGTTTCCAAGGGTGCAATCTTTACGGAAGCAGACTGCCACATCTTTCTCCTGCGAGTGGCTGGTGGGTTTGAACTGCCGACCTTTTGGTTAGCAGCTGAGTGCTTAACCACTGCGCCACCAGGGCTCCTTATATACCTTCTATTTAGACAATTTCATACTCTTCCAACTGCTATCATATCCCTTATTTCATTTTCTCCTTACAGCAACTCCATGAGGTAGGTTGGGTAAACAATAATATTATTTCCAATTTTCAGATGAGGAAACCTGAGATCCAGAGAGAAGTTACTTGATCCAGAGACACACACAGTGGCAGAGATGCCTTATAGACAGGAAAGCCTTTCAGACGTATCTACCCTATTCCTCTTCACATTCATTCCTTTGTCCCTAAATCAGCAAGCTGATAGCCCCCCTCTCCCTCCAAACAAGTCCTCAAGTACCGATCGATTTCAGATCTGGAATGTTCTTCCAGGAATGTGCCCTGACTCCCCAGGTGGGCTTGGTCTAGGACCTAGAGCATTGCTTTTCAGTTGCAGCATGCATACAAGTCACCTGGGGATCTTGTTAAAATGAAGATTCTCATTCAGGAAGGCTGGGGTAGGGCCTCTGCATTTCTAACCAGCTTCCAGGTGATGGATGCTGTTGCTGCTCTGAGGAACACACTTTGAGTAGTAAGATACTAGAGGGTCTTGTTAAAATGCAAATTTCCAGCCCCACCCAGATCTAATATATCAGACTAACAGGTGGGCCTGTGAACCTACATTTTTAACAAACATCCCTGCTCTAGGTCGTGGGAAACCCTGGAGGCACAGTGGTTAAGAGCTATGACCTGCTAACCAAAAGGTTGGCAGTCTGAATCCACCAGGTGCTCCTTGGAAGCCCTATGGGAAATCGACTTGACAGCAATGGTTTTTTTTTTTTCCCCTAGTTCATCAGCTCTAAAAGTTAGAACTAAGCTTGTTTGGTTGTTTGTTTTAATCTCCTTGCCCCCAGCTCATATCATAGAGCCTAGAATGCATAATATTTGTTCAGTTAATCATTATTTAATGAAAGAATGAATAGTTCAGAACACACACACACCCCCTAAAGCTGGTATACCCAAACTTACCTAATAAAAGTTTGGTTTTATCTTTGCATTCTGGTGTGTTCCAAGGGTTGTTACAGGAGCCCCAGGGCAGCACAGACACAAAGGAGGCAAACAGGTAGAAAAGTGTGTAGCAAATAATCACATTGTAGTATATGGCTATTAGGACAGAGATGATCAGCATCGCGATGCCACAGCCTGTGGAAGCAAAAATTCCAGGGGCTCATTCCATCCCAAAGCCTATAAAATTCTTATAGTTGGGTAAAGGGGGGTGGGGGAACTAGGTCTTGACTCCCTTTTACAGATGGATCTGCTTATAGTGGAGTAGACTCTATGTCTACTGGGGACATTGAGACATTCAGCTAGGAACTGAACAAGTGGGTCGTCCTGTGCCATTCTGGGGAGCGGGGAGGCAAAGTGGAGTCAATCAAATAAAAGAAGGAATGAGTGAGTTCTATTGCTCACAAAAGCAGGTCGCCCACCCTGGGGCAAAGCTGAGTGGTGACATAGGGCAGGGTAAGGCCTGAGGAGCTGGGAGGCCGAGTGGACTCACCTTGTAGTGCTGGGATGGCCTTCCACACAGACACTGGTCCCTGGCTGGCAAATTGGCCCAGTGACACCTCTAGGAAGAAGATGGGCAGCCCAGCCAGAGCCAGCATCATCAGGTAGGGGATGAGGAAAGCACCTTGGAAAGAGAGAGTGAGAAGTGAGAGCCCTGGGAGGTGAAGGCAGGGCTCTGGCCCACCTTGGGGCACAGTCCTCTGGGCTGGGGGCTGAGCTCCCTCTCAATGAACTTACAGGGACAATTTAGCTCCTTTTCTGAAGAAGCTTCTGATATTCATGCTCAACAACAGGTACCCACAGACATTTAAGAGCCCTCCTCCAAAACGTGTGGGAGTGCCCATGCAAACACACTTCTTATTTCAATTTTCCACAGGTACTAGGAGTTGTGTGGTGGTAGGTTGGTGTTTTTGTTTGTTTGTTTGTTTTTCTTATTATAGTACTTCGGTTTCCCAAAATTAAGCCCTTTCAAGATTCAGCAACTCAATGCCTTTGACTCACTATGGGAGTCAGATTTGGTGGAATCTCCTCAGAGCCTGAGCCCTCCAAGGACCTCAAATCTGCTCAGCTGGACTCCAGAATGCTCCCCCACAGTAACCCAAGTTACCTGCATACCTTTGGCCAACCAGGTTAGGCCTCCTCTGCCAGACAGACCCCCAGTACTCATCCCTCTCCCACCACCACCTCCATCACACATTCGACTTCCTTCTCCTTAGGTGAAGTCCCTCCCATCCTTCTAGGTCAACTCAGATGCTTTCTCCTCCAAGAAGTCTCCATTCTGTCCGCCCACAATACTTTCTCCAGGCACTGATCACTTAACAGTACTCATGTGGATGTCTCGTCTAGTCTGAAATCAACGTTAGTTCATCCTTCATCTCTTTATCCCGTGGAATACTCAGCCTAGGGCAATAGTACCTGATAGGCCTCCACAGACTTGCTAAGCATTTTCTAGGGTTCTTTCCCTTCAGGCTTCTTGGAAGTTGTTTGGGAGGAGGCAGGGGAATAGTGATGATTTTTGAAAAGGTTTTGACCAGCAAGGGCTGTTAATAGGTCAGAGTCAATTCCAGGACAAAAATAGCCAGAGCCCAAAGCACTGTGCTGGTCTTTCGCTAGCCCGCCTTTTCTGCTCACCCTTCTCTCAACTTCCTGTCCCAGCGAAGGGACCTTTGCCGCCCAGGGGTTCTCCAAGAGGGAAGGGAGTAAAAACGGGAATTCCGCTTTTTCCTCTCCAGGAGAATAAAAACGGGAATCCTGCTTTTTCCTCTCCGGGCGGGGTTTTTGAGAAGAGAAGTGGATTGTCCAACAATTCTCTCTTGCTCCCGGGAAGGAGGAGGCGAGCTCTCCACGCCGCGCTGCGGGCTGCGGGCTGCGGGCTGCGGGCTGCGGGCTGCGGGCTGCGGGCTGCGGGCTGTAGGCCCCAGAGCCGCAGTGCGGAAAAGGACTGCCTCTCTCCTCCCCTCGCCTGGCTGCGCCCGGGCCCCGGGAAGCGGAACCGCTTCGCCTAGTGCGTGGCTCCGCACTTTGTAGATCCCTGGCGAGCAAAGCAGGAGCACTTTCTCGGGCCAAATACCCTTGGCTAGTACTCCTTTTCATCCCGCCAGCCCGGGGACCCACACTCACCCCGAGAATCAAGGGTGAAGAGCCGCTCTCCCTGCAGTCACTAAAAGCCACATCATAGCTCCTGCGGCCCACTTCCCGCACCCATTTTCTGGGGACTCCCTGCGGAAACCACGCGGAAGCCTCCAGCTGGGGCGCCTAGAGTCGCGTGGCCAGCACAGGTCCCTCTGTTTCCAGGGCACCCCTAATTGCAAACGCTGTGCTCTATGGTCCTCAGAAGTACTTGTCAACGTATTTTAATTTGGAATTGAGGGCGGGGCAGTCACAAATTTTTCCGTTTTAATAGTCCTATGATGCGGGAGAGGTTCGCCGGTGCGACACCTACTTGTTCATTCCTGTGCACCAAACTCCTCCTGGAGCGGACACACGAGACAAACAATGAGGACAACGTAAGCTGTCAGACACGACACGGTGAGGGGGCGCGTTTCGGGTCCCTTTGGTTCGGTTGAGAAGCTGTGGAGGGATCTCTAGGTGCAAACTCCTAGAGGGCGGCTTTGTTGTCTTTAGCTAATGTGGGGCGAGCTGCCCAAGGAAAAAGCGAGCAAAGGGGGCCTTGAATGTGTTGGGTCCTTCCTCGTGGGTACAGAAAAGATTCAATGGGAAACTCCAGCAGCCAGGATCCTAATAGCCAGGCGGCTGGAGAGTACCTAACTGGCGTCTTCCCCATCTCCGGAAACGGTTTTCCTTCAAAAGCAGGTTCTTCCATCCCGTTAGGACGAATGAAACGAAAACCGTTTTTGCTAAACGATTTTGCTGAAGTTAAAATATGTCCTGCTTGTACCCAAGAAGGTATGTCTCTGGGTGCTCCTGAGAGGTTTCCATCCCAGCCTGAGACCTGCGAGAGCACCATCCCAGCTGCTCCCCTCATCGCACCTCCCCGCTCGCCTGCATTCTGCGCTCCGCTTGACCCGAGCACCCAGTCTCAAAGTATTGGGTTTCCAGCTTATCATCTTAAAAAGTCCTTAATTCGGAGCTCCAGGACTGCACAGCTACTGGCTCTAAGGTCGTTTAAGTGCGCGGAGGGCAGCTGCTCCCTGAAATACTTGACCGCTAGGAGTTTGAACTTCCCTGAGTCAATGCCCACTCGCCTCCGGATCTAGCCCCCCAAGATGGGCCAATGGGGAACCACCTGCTCCCACCCCTTTCCTGCACCCCATCTCCAGGTAGAAGCCTTCGGAATCTAGAGTCAATTGCTCCTGCCCTCCGGCTTCGTACTTATGCCCTGGCAACAGGGAATCCGGGCTGGTGTGTGAGGAGGCTGCCTGGAGCCGCCCCTCCCGGACCCCCCCCTTGGGTTCCAAGTTCCCCCCAACCCGAGAGTTCCCGCCCCACCTCGCCGCAGGCGGAAAGAGCGGAAAAGCCATACCTCCCCCGTTCTGGAAGGCCAGGTAGGGAAACCTCCAGACATTGCCCAGCCCCACTGCGTACCCCACCATGGACAGGATGAAGTCCAGCTTGCTGGACCAGTTCCCTCGGGCCTTATTCTCATCCCCTTGCTCGTCCTCCTGGGGGCGGAAAAGCACATTGTTGGATAACAGCCCCGGGGCTGTTGCAAGCAGGCCGCATTCCGCCCCTCCCCCCGATGAGGGTCCTTCCCACAAGCAGGCCCCCACTTTTCAACCAAGGATGCATCGGCAAGCAGGATCCAAATTCTGAACAGAGGATGCATCTACAAGCAGGGCCCCACCTCTCAATCCTGCACTGAGGGTCTTACAGCAAGCAGAACCCCTGTTCTGATCTGAAGATCCATCTTAAACAACCCCGAGTCCCTCTTTCCCAATCCTGCAGTCAGGGTACACCAGCAAGCAGCTCTCCCAAAACCTTGAACTGGTAGGTTGATTGCAAGCAGCCCTCCCCCCCCCATCCCTAATCCCTCACCAAGAATTCGTTTGGCAAGCAGGCCCCCAATATCATGCCTAGAGTCTTGAGCAAGCAAGTCGCTAGTCAACCCCTCCCCCCAATAAAACCCTCCCTGCACCTCTTCCTCAGCTCTTTCTTCCTCTGGAGTCAGTGCCAAGACCAGAAAGAGAGCTGCAATGTCTGAAACCAGCCAGAGCCCTTGCCTCATTTTCTCTGTCAATGCCTTGCAGGTGGAAGCTGCCTGGTAGGCTAATTTAAGGGAGCACCCTTCAGCACTGGGACAAGGGAGATGGGCAGGAGGGAGACTTAAGGGTAAAACAAGACGGGAGGGGGGATAGAGAATGAGGTGTGGTAAGAGCTAGGGCATCTAAAACCTTGGATTCTAGTCTAAACTTTACTACTAACCAGCTGGGTAACCACAGACAAGACACTTGCTCTCTCTGAGCCTCTGTGTCCCCATCTGTAAAATGAGAGGTTTAGAATAACTGTCTCCTTGAGACACCTTCCAGCTCTGGCAGTCTATGAATCTTTGGGTCTCACTTCTCCCAGCTCACTCTAATATACTTTTGGGGGGCAGTATCTGGTTCTGGAATGCCTCACTACAAAGCAGAAAGATCTGGGGGTGAGGTCACCTCAAATGAACTCTGAAAGTATGCAGGACACCTGGACACTACACAAAGCTTCCTGGGATACACACCAGTGCACAGCTTCCACCTCCTTAGTCACACTCCACCTCCTACGTCAGTACCCTGGGATGTCCCACACCGTTCTGCGGGCTGTGAAGGATAAAGCAGCAGCTGCTAGGAGGGGTGGCAGGCTTGGGGAGGGAAAAGGGTGGGTGTTAGGAAGACAAGAATCTGAAAGATGCTCAGGGCTGAAAATAGGCAAGGGCAGGGCTTGGTCTGCATCTTTAGGAGCCCAAGGGCCAGAGGAAGCTTCTTATCTTTAACACCCTCCCGACACCTCTCTCCCCCTGTGATCCTCTAGTCCCCTTCACCACCACCTTCCAATCCTTCCAGGGCTAAGAAGGGCGGGAGTTCCAGTTCCTTTTGCCGCAGTGCAGAGGTTAAGTAAGGCACTGAAAACAAATTTTCTGCCTCCACCTGGGGACACACTGTTTCGGTACATGCTCTCAGAGGCAGTTAATACACACAGACTAATGCTCCAGATATGGACCCCAAAAGCAAGGGCAAGCAGAAGAGCCTATGTTTGTGCTTATTTCTAATTATTCTAACGGCTGAACTCCTGCTATGGGGGCCTGTGATGGAGTGTGGTGTGTGTGTGGGCAAACACTCGAGAGATTCAGGACAGAAGGGCTGGATATGCCCTGCATCCTACACAGGGGGATGTCCTGGCCCAGGCCCTGACTGCTGGACACATGCCAAGTGTGTGGGAAGTAGCAGAAGGCAGGCAAGGGAAAAGGGTAGAGCTGGAGTGGGTGAAACAAAGACGGAGGAAAAATGAGATCAGAGAAGAGGGGAAGACTGGAGGAAAATAGAAGACAAAGGCCTGTGTAGGGGAGGGGGCCACCAGGAATACCTAGAGTTGCTGGTACTGGGGAGGGTGCCTTATCCCTAACCCAGGATGGGCATTAGCTCTGTGGGCTATTCATGCCTCTGGCTGAGCGGTCAAATGCAGGCATGGATCCAGGTGTGTGGGACCTGAAGCTTATACGGTTGAGGTAGGTCCTCTTCAAGAAAAAATAATACAAAATTATGATGACAAATTGGGTACAAGGCTTTTGGAGGGTCAATGCAAATAACAGGGTTCTGAAGCTTAGACTTCAGTAGCCTCTCAGTGAACCGATCTTTCATTGAATGAATTCTTCTATGATGTTATTCTCAGTGCAAAGGGCTAGGGGACTGTAAACTATTGTTCCCCACCACCCCGGGCTTTTCTTTGTATTTTTAATTAATTAATTAAAGACCCAGTCATTGGCAGGAAGAGGAGTCATGCCTGCATAGAGGATCTATCTGCCTCCACTGCTTAACGTGTCTGCCTTCAGATTCCTATTGTCACCGAGTCTCCCAAGGGGCACTTAGCGGGCAGCTCGTGAGGTTCCGACCCCTCTGGCAGAATCACCGCAGCCTCCGCGTACCCGGTGCAGCCCTGAACTGGCGACCTCAGCGCAGTGCGAGCTTCCAAAGCCCCAAGCTTCCTCCCGCCATCTGCCTGGCACTGCCAGCCCATCTCCCCATCAGCACACGTGCACCCGCCGCGGCGCAGCTCGCCTCGCACGCGGCTAGACAGCAGGAGGCGGCGCGGGCCCAGAGCACCCAGCTTACCTGGGCGGCAGTGCTGGCCACGCTGCCTGGGAGCACGGACGTGATTCCATCCGTGCCCAGCACCACGGTACTCCGGCTCATGTTCACCCAGCCCACGGCCGGGGTATTGTTCCGCTCCAGGGTACCCTTGCCAACACTCACGTTCACATCCCTCTCCGGGCCGCGAAGGGCGGTGATCTTACAGTGCAGCGCGTTGCCGGGCCCGGCGCCCCCAGTCGGCGGGGCGGCCTGCGCGCCGTGCGCCTCGCTCAAGTCTGGCAGAGCCGCAGAGGCCGCCGGCGCCCGTGGGCTAAGTTTGCAAGCGCCCATTCCCAGCCGCTCTGCCTCGCAGGCTCGTGCGTCTGGAGACTGGAAAGTTTGGGCGCCAGTGGAAGCGGACCTGGGCACACGGGGCGGTGGCGCGGCAGCCGCGGGTAGCTCCTGCTCCGGGCTCGTCCTGGGTGCGCACAGGCCCTGCGGGTGACCCGGTGCCGCCGCCGCCGCTTCCAAGCTGTTGGTTGGTTGTTTACTCATTTCCTTGGGAGCACCGCAATCCTGCAAACACAACGTCAAGTTCGTGCAAAAAATAAAGTCAAGGCACCTTTAAAAAATACCTGTATCTATATCTGCAGATGATGTTCACAACTCAGGTCCAGACACATCTGGGGGTGCAAGTTGGAATCTTTTCTTTTTTCTTTTGACAATAAAATACTGCAAGCAATATTTATCAGTTTGCCTGTCTCTGAATACCTAAGTGACCTAAAGAAGCAATATTCTCCTCCCTGATAGAGGGCGAACTAAAAAGGAGACAGAAATGTTTTGGGCTGGGGGAAAAGCAGAGGACAGAAATAGCCCTACAGCCATGCGTTCCCGGCCCTGTTTGGATTTCACATCACGGCTGTAGGATGCCTGCGTCCCCATCACCATTGTGGAAAGATTCTTTAATTTTCCGCCCCATTTCCTTTGTCATTCAACAATGCACATTGCCTTTTTTTTTTTTTTTTTTTCTTTTATAAGCGATAGACAAGCTGCGACCACAAAGCTGATGCCCTGGCACCTGCGCGTGCTGGAGGCCAAATCGGTGGTGCGAATCCGAGCGCTCCAAAACCCACCCCGGCCGCCAGGTAGCAAAGGCGTAGATAAAGATCACCATCAAAATTACAAAAGAAAAAAAGAAAAACACAACAATAACAGGGATAATAACCAGACTTAAAACACAAGGCAGTAACCAGGTTTGTTATCTTACAGAACCTACTCTCACTTTCAGATTCCCAGAAGGGTGAACGAATGTGGAAAGCTTTTTTCAGGCATAACTATTCGCAGGAGTCTAATATCCTTCTCACCCATACACTTGCTTGGGGACAAAAACTCACAACTAATTTTCATTTACTTTCTCCCAAGTCAGTTTCAAATGAAAAGAACTGCCAGAGGTGGTTTTTCCTTCCTTCTCTCTCTCTCCTCGTGTTATCTTTCAGAGCTTCCTAAACCTCCTCACCAATAATAATAATTATTATCATACAGTAAGAATAATCATAGTACTTTCATTTCAGTTGCTGGCCTCTCGTCTACCTCCTTCCCGCTTTTCACAAATGTACAGATCAGAACTCCTTAATTTTCACCAAATCTAAGTACCTTGGCTCCAGCCAGCATTTCTGTCTCAGTAGCCTCTAGGACCCAGAGCGACCCGTCTCTGTATCGGCATCTGGCTTTTCAGCACCGAGAACAGTGCCCGAAATCAAGCCTGTTGGGAGCCACCACCAACCTCTCAGTTCTTTTTACAGCCTCAGGAACCTCTTTCTGAGCTTAGGTGAAGCTCTCAAGCACAAATATCTACCGCCTCCAGAATTGTCCTCCCCTCCTCCGCCTCCCAAAAATACACAAAACGTTTCAAAAAGAAACATCCAAAACGAATCTGCCCTTTCCACCCCCTCGGCCCCCTCTTCTCTTAAAGGAACAAAAGCAAACACTCACCACGTCTGACATAGGCAACTGATTGAATCTGGAGGGAGTGAACCCAGCTATTGACAAGACTGGATTTGGCTCCGGCAAGAGAGGCGCTTTCTATATCTCTTTGGGAAAGGCCAGGTTTGCGTCAGTGCAAAGCAAGGTGCCCTTCGTGTGACATTTTCTTGATAATACAAGTTTGATAAATCATTATCCCCTTGGATTCGAGTTTTAAAGAGACAACAGCCGAGAGCGCGCTGGTCAGTTGTCACTCGGGCGGGAGGGGGCTGCGTGTTCTGCGTGACTCATGTGGGTCTGATTACTAAACCGAAGCCGGCGGGAGGGGACGACAGAAGTTTGCTTCCTTCTAATTAAGGGGAGCATGGGAAGGACACGTCCCACTGCGCCCAAGGCTAGACGCAGGCGCCAACAGAGTGGATTGGGTTGTCGAGGTGGGCGCAGGGGAGGAGTGGTGGTAAATCACTGTCGTGGCTCGGTCTTTCTCTTCCACTAGATCCCGTTGCTGCTTCCCCAAATGTACAGGCAACGGATTCCGCAGTATCATTCCTAAAGCGATCAAGGGTCGGCACGTAGCGCCACGGCTTTGCAATGCCTGGTGCGGCCACGGGTGCTGCATGTTCAAAGATGAAGTCCCCTGTGCATATGCGGACTTCAGGTTCTCACAGCCCGACCCGCATCCCTCTCCCAGACAACCAGTCTTGGACGAATCCTAGGTTTCCGCTTAGAAATTTAGATCTAGTGTTTGCATTTCTATTTTTCTCTGTTAACACAATCAAGAGAAAATCCTTAGTAAAATTATAACTGTTCTCATAAGTTCCTCTGAAGCGTTTGGTGAAAATAAAAAGAAAATTATTTCCAACAGTGACCGGTTTCTCAGGTCACTTTCAATGTCAAAGAAAATCCATTCTTTCTTATTCTCCCTTTCAATAAAAATTCGCCAGTCAGGCCTGATGTGGAAGCGCGGGGTCTTAGAGACCCTCCAAATCCCCACACACCAGGAAGCCAAAGGGGGACATTCTGCCTTACTGAAGGAGGTGGAGGCGGGTGGGGTGTGTGCAAACCACTGGGATAAAAAGATGGACTTTCCTGTCGGTACAAAGCAAAGATTATACTCATTAAGAAAGGGAAAACACCTTTTATAGATAGAGAAGGTGCAGGCTGGACACTAGCGGGAGATCTCAGCCAAAACGCTTTGCAAGCTTGCTGGCCTGTTTCGGAGAACCCCTGGCCTCGAGGATGAGAAGCTACGGAAAACACTTTGTCCTTTCCCTGGGGCCCGCAGCCCGGCCCACTGCCTTGGGGTCGGTGCAGTCGCCCTTGGCTGGGTGGTCCCCACGCGGCAGGAGGATAAAGCCGGGTTTGCCGCAGGCGGAGGCTGCAGCGGCAGATTGCGGCGACCCCCACCCCCGTCCGCTCGCGAGCTGCCCCAGCTCGCTAATATGCCTCTCTGCTCACTGGCTCGCCCACCTGACCCCTCCGAGGGCAGCTGGCTGGAGACCTGTGGTCTGCAGTATCCTGGGGGTGGATAGTTTCCCTACGGAGACCCTCCTTCCAAGCCACTACGAGGGTTTCAGGCCGTTTTTCATTGTAGTTTTGAGCTAACATTTATTGAACTCTCAATCTTGAACCATTGTGCAAATGGTTTCCATGACTTATTTCATTTAGTGTTGACAACAGCTTTTGAGAAATTATCCCAATTTTAAAACTGAGGAAACTGAGTCTCAGAAAGTCGCTTTCGAACCCAGGATAACCCCAGGAAGTCTGCACTCTTAACCGCTCCACAACGGCCTCCCATGGGACTACGCGGAGGGAATCCAGGCGAGGCAGGGAGCCAGCGGGCTTCAGTGGGCTCCGGGGGGCTGCAGTGGGTTTCAGCTAGAGGAGGAGAGGGCGGGCGATCGGGCCGAAAATCCCGCAGGGCCGCAAGCTCGAGCTCAGGCGGGCGGGGAGAAGCACGGTGGACTCTGAGAGTCACCGAGAGAACCTAAGGGGGAACTTTTGGACGCTTCTTGCAAAAAAAAAAAAAAAAATTAAAAAGCCCAATTTCCAAGGAACCATACTGGGTGCGAGGGTCACAGCGGGCAGGCCTAGCAGACCCTGGCCCCGAGAGAAGCCAAGACGCCTGCCCCTAAGTCCTGGCTGGCCTCCCTCTGCAGGTCCTTTCCCACGGGCGCTGGACAGACCTCCCCAAGAGCTAGTCACGACTTCGATAAGCTCCAGCCAGTTTCCCAAATTTGCATTTGAGCCGCCCCCGCACGGGGCCGCGAGAGTACTGAGTGTTCACCGGGCGCACGGACCTCAATGGTCCCCGTAAGGGGGGAGGACTGCGCAGCTGCTGCCGGGTCCTGTCGGCCTTCTTGCTACCCCCTCCCCGCCCGGTCCCTGCCGCAGCGGCCTTGAGTACGAGTGACGCCCCGCGCCCTCGCTCGGCCCCCAGGCCTGACGTTTCGCCCTCCCCACCCAAGTGCGTTGGGTTCCCTCGTGGGGCCTGCTGCGCGTCAGACCTTGCAGGGGCAGGTGACGCGCAGGGAAGGCTGCGGAGGTGGATGGAAGGCTGCACTACTCCCCACCTCTCCCCACCTCTGGCAGCAAGATTCTAGAAAGGAGAAGCAGCGTGGAGAACGGAGGGACGGTCTGGAGCTGGGAGGCCTAGCGGGGTCGCACTGAGGCCAGCATGGGGGCGGAGTTGGGGGGCACCAGAAGGGCAGGAGGGTCGGAGTGAGTAGACGAGGGAGAGAGTGCGGGGGCCGGAGGCCAGGCCAGGCCCCCGGGCAGCTTTTCGTGCTTACTGGTGTGTGTCAGCGCTGGGGAAGCGCAGGGGTTGGAGCCTCACCAAAGAATAAAAAGGCTCAGGCCTTCCGGACGCCGGCCCCCGCCCCCGCTCTCCGCGGCCGCCTGTTTGGAGTGATAATCGGCGCCCGGGAGCCGCCACCGAGAAGGCGGTAAATCGGCATCCATCACCGCCGCAGCCAGCCATTCGGTTGGAATTAGCCAATCACTACGGTCTTAATTACTTTGTCAAAGATGAAAAATAGTAATTGATTTTGTCCTGGATCACTTTGTCCCCCCCCCTCCACTGCTGATAAGCAAATAAATGCCTATTTTTGTGAACCCGTGTCCACCCAGCAGTGTGGGAGTAGCCTACTGGAGAAGAGGCCATCCCTGGCGGCCCTGACGCCAGAGTCTGTGCCAAGACACAAGGGTGGGGGTGAGGAGTAGCAAGCTGGAGCCTAGGCAGCAGAGGGTCTGCAGGGCGGCCTTTCGGATTCAAGTCGCTGCTCTCCGTCTCACTGGGGAAGGAGCCGGGAGGGAGAGAAAACGTCGTACTCACACACCGCCCGCTCGGCTGTTAGCCGGCGCTTTCAGTACCAGCCTGAGAGAAATAGCTGCCAGGCAAATTCGACGGAAAGGCGAAGAAACTTCCCAAGGACAGCGGGCAGAGCCAGGATTTGAGGCCAGGTCCGTGTTAACTTGTCCACACTACCACACGGGATACAATGTGAGCGCCTGTGTCTGTGTTCAGGTGAATTTGATACGGGAACTGTAAACACCTAAAACTTGGATAGATGATGGATGCGAGGACTCAGTGTGAGGTGCAGGTGACTGCCGATGTCAAGAAGCCATGCGGTATTTTTGTCCCACTTGCCTACTACTGTCCAGTTCTACTGCGGTATTGTTCTGTGCTACAAGCATGAGTTCTGCAGACAGACTGCACCACCTCCTAGCTCTGTAACCTTGGAGGAAATTCCCAATGTATAAAATAAGGATCATAGAATATTAACCTATCTCAAGGGCTGTTTGAGGATTAAATTAGTAATGCATGTGAAGTACTCAGATTGGGGCCAGCTACCTGGTATGCTTTGAATAAGCGATTGCTGTTATTATTCAGTCTGGGTGAATCATTTGTTTCAAGCCCTTCAGATTTAACAAAATGGTTCTCTTTCCTGGATTCAAAAGTTCTA